ATAAAGCTGAAGAACAAAAATACAAAATCAAACTTTACTTATTGAAAAATAGTCCTCAAAATTTACATGTTCTTCTTAGGAGGGTAAATTACACTAAACCCCCATGAACTTTCAGTGTGTTGCATTAAACCCCCATGAACTTTCAAAATCACACTAAATTCCCTTGAACCTTTTGAATTGCAGAAAACCCCCATTAACTTTCTGAGTTGTAGGTAAATTACATTAAAACTCCATGAACTTTCAAAATCACACACTACACTCCCGTGAACTTTTTGGAATTGCGGAAAACAACATAAAAGGAATTTTGAAAGTTCATGGAGTTTTAGTGTAATTTACCTAAAAGTTCATGGGGGTTTTCTGCAAAGGTTATTGGCGGTTTAGTGTGTCTTTGAAAGTCCATGGGGCCTTAGTGTAATTTACCCTTCGAATGCGCATGTACGTCTCTTTGCAAACAGGTAGCACATGCATAATTATCAAGTGAAGGCTTCTAAGAATTCCATGACTGCAAGCAACAATCTGATTAAGCTTACCCAATTTGTACTTAGCAATCAAGTTCAATGTAGCATACCATGAATTTAATAACATTGTTAGTTGCTTGAGATGCTACTTACATAATCTTCTTGTGTTCACATTGTTGACCTATCTCTTGCCTTCTTCATGATTTATTTCTTATTCGTAGTCAAGATAATTCAAAAGCTTCAGATATCATTACTCATGCATAAAGTAGTATCAATAAGAGTTGTCAAATTGGGATCATCTTATATATCATTATATCGTTACATGCTATCTTTTCTATTGGTTGACACTACTGCAAATCACAAAGTATTTGAAACCTTTTGATATTATTATTGTACGAGTTGTAGCTTTTCTCGGATGTTTCATGTGACATGACATGAATCACAAACGGTATGATATTAAGACAGCTATGATATCAATTTACTATTGGATAACATTATAGCATCATCAAAGAAGGTGACTGAAGAGAAATTGACTAACTATTTGGTTGTCATGAGCATAAGTTTGGCTCATCAAATCCCACATCTTATTCTCTTTGTGGTGGTGCTTCTGTTGTCTAACAATTTGCTGTACTTCTTCCTTTATGCAGGTCATACAGTCATATGCCTCTTATGACAATAAACATTATATGTGTTATATGATTTACGACTGTCTGAACAATGCACTGTTCAATAACATCATAGTAACATCAAACCGTCAACAAAAGGCAACTATAAGAGAAGTTGGCTTACTATTTGATTGCCTCCATGACCACACGCATGCCTCGTCACATCCCACATCTCATTTTCTTTGGTGATCCTTGTGTTGGTTAACAAATTTGTTCATTTTTTTTCTTTATGTAGGTCCTTCAGTTATTTACATGTGTTGACAAAATTAGCTACATTGAATGGGCCCTTGATTCAGAGTACATTCTCTGTGGTCTCTACAAGAGACCAATGGTACAAGCTTGGTCTCTAACTCAGCCAGAATGGACATGTAAAATAGATGAAGGTCCTGCAGGGGTTGCTTATGCAAGGTGGAGTCCTGACAGCCGTCACATACTCACGACATCGGAGTTTCAGCTGCGATTGACTGTATGGTCCCTGGTGAATACGGCTTGTGTGCATGTGCAATGGCCGAAACATGCCTCAAAGGGTGTCTCCTTTACCCAAGACGGAAAGTTTGCTGCTGTTTGCACAAGACGAGATTGCAAGGATTATATTAACCTATTGTCTTGTGATTCGTGGAAAATCATGGGTGCTTTTGCTGTTGATACTACTGATTTAGCAGGTGTTGAGTGGTCTCCAGATGATAGTGCCCTAGTGATTTGGGATTCACTTCTGGAGTACAAGGTATGGCCGTATGGGTTTCTGCTGCAGATAAATACTTCTCTATATTGTTCACCCATGGTTTCCTTGGCCATGAATTGAACACTAATTTAGAGGGTTTTTACCAGGTTGATGGGTGGTCTTCTTAATATATAATTTTGCTCCATCTAAATATCTTTTAATGAGAAAATGGGCATAAATGGTACAATAATGACATTGATGATATAGTGTACATATTTCGTTAAAAGGTTAATTCTTTGCGCTTTTCTCAGAAAGTTGTTCCACATTCAGGCATCAATAGATTTGGAGGTCTGAAAATATATTGACACAGTTTCTTTTGAGCTGCTAGGATGGTATACATTTGAATACAGGTTTGAGCATATACAGGGTTGAGCATATAAAGTTTAGTTTTTTGTGGTTAACTCAATTTAACAAGCGCTAAATAACACTTAATGTAACACAGATAAAATGCATTTTTCGGAGTTATTTCCTGCATTAAATGTAACATGCATTTTCTGCCTGAGTTTTATGACACTTTGGATCCGTTAGATGTCGAAATGAGTTATAAAGCGTTTCATATTGGTTTTTCCCCGTACATTGTATTAGAAAGAAAATAAGAAGGATTAGGATAGCTACCCTGAAAGACCTGGAAATTTGTGAGAATTACCTTTTGTAAGTCCTATTTTTCATAGTTGCGTTTCATGTTCCAACAATAACCACTGACCAACTTCCCTAACTTCCTAACAGAAAATAAGAAGAAGAAAAAAAAAATCTTAACCTTTTAGATGTGAATTATTGCAGTAAACAGGTAATATCAGTCTAGAACCAGAATTGATTGCATCTGTCGAAATAATGAACCCTGTGTACACGACATCTCTTGTAGAATTGGAAATCTCATGCAGGATCCTGGGTCTAGTCATTTCTGTTATACCGACACTTGGGTTTTAATAAGTTTGCATGTGTGATTTGAATTCTTTAGCTAATAGGCGGACGAGCTTCTGGAGGTAATATTGCTTATGATACAGGTGCTGATCTATTCTCCAGATGGAAGATGTTTGTTCAAGTATCAAGCTTATGAAAGTGGGTTAGGTGTGAAAACTATTGCTTGGTCTCCATGCGGTCAATTTCTAGCAGTGGGTAGCTATGATCAGATGCTGAGGGCTTTGAACCACCTGACCTGGAAAATGTTTGCTGAATTTATGCATGTATCCACAATTCGCAGCCCCTGCAGTGCTGCTATATTCAAGGTGAAATCCTTTTTTTTAATTTATCTTGTTGGTTAGCCCTTAAAGCATCTAGAAGATAATTGTTAAAATGTTCTTGGAAATTTCTGTAGGAAGTGGATGAGCCTTTGCAGCTTGACATGTCTGGGTTATGTTTGAGCGATGAATTTCCCCATAATATACAAGGCAACTGTCCTGGTGAGCATTTGAATCTATGAACCATTAGTCTCTTGATTCATATCAATTTATCTCTGTAGAAAATAAATTTAAACTAGATTTAGTACATCACTTAAAGAGGTAGTTTGATAGTAGCAGTCTACTTAGTAGTGGATGTAGTAATGTTTGTGTCTTAATCTGTTATACGTGGCAAAATAATTCGTTCAGCTTCAAAATTATGATGATTCAGCCATCTCATTCTTCCCAGTCATCAGCATAGGATGGTGCTAGTCTGTGGATTCTTATTGCAAGAAATTCATATAGTTAAATCCTACATTCACATTATAATTCATATAGTTAAATTCATATAGTTTGTGGGAACAAGTTGCTTATTGTCCTGCTGTGTCTGTGATCAATTTAATATGGATTACTTGTAAGGTAGAAATGTTCTAATCAATATAGATCAGGAAGAAATGCTGCACTTATAATTCGTGGAGATATTTTTGTTATCCATCATTGTTACACATGCACATTATAGTTATGCTTAGTAGATCTTTTTCCTTCGAGGTAGTGGATTCAATGGCGTACTTTATTGATGTAACAGTTCCCTGATTGCCAGCAAGTTCTTAAACACTATGCTTCCATGTGATTTTGGCGAGTTAGGAAAGATGTCAATAGATTCAAAACCACAGTAGTCATATTGCTTGCTTGGATTTAGTTGTTGGATCAGTGAAAGATATAGTTTGGAAGCTGGAATGTCAATTCTTAAGTGCATTATATTTGAACAGTTTGTATTTGAATTATCTATAGTTTAGAATTTCACATCTGAATATTAATACTCTGTACTCCCACCACCGCCAATTACTATGGTGATGTTAATATCTATCTGGTTTTGGCACTGTTGTTTTGAAACTATTTACTCAGATTATGTTTGAGTGGGCATCTGTTGTTCTGAAGCTATTTTCTTTTCTGTTTGATTTATAGAAAATCCTGCTGATGGAATCTCTGGAGTCAAGTACAAAGTAATGGATGTTCCTGTTAGCTTGCCATTTCAAAAGCCAACCGTAGATAAGCCCAACCCTAAACAAGGAATCGGTTAGTCTTCATTCTTGATATTGAACAAAGTTTCTCATTCTTACAGTTACTTTTCCTTTATGCTGCTGTCTTATTGAATATTGAAAGTATTAATCATTTTACAACTCAGATACTGTTCTTACCTGATGGATTATTTTGTAACTGCTCTCTCATCTTAGATTGGGATTAGGCTTATGCCAAATTCGAATAAATCTATTCAATTTACACAATCTGCCAATATGGATTGATATAATTTTCATAATGTGGAAATCAAGCCATGTAGAAGCAGCTATAGTATCATTACCCATATTGTTCGCAAATCAAGCATTTTGTCCCAATCTGATCCAACACTGATGTTGCTTTTTTCTTTTTTCTTTTTTCTTTTTCTTTTTTTTTCCAAATCATGAAATATGTAGCAATGCTCGGGACTGTTATCTTCGTTCTATGGTAACACATTACCTAAAAGGGCTCTTTCAATATTAGGGGCCCCGACTCTTAAGTTATTTTGGAATAAATCCTCAAATCATTGAAATTGCATTAGATCCCCCAAATCTCATAAGTTGTTTCAAACTAATCCTTCTAATTGCCGCTTCCACTCTTTATTGGAGGGACTAATTTCAAAATAACTTAAGAATTGGGGGACCTAATATGTATTTCAATGATTTAAGGGACGAATATCAAAATAACATAAGAATTGAGTGAACCTAATAATAACAATTTCGACAATTTGAGGGATTAATATTGAAAAAACCCTACCAAAATGAAAAACTTTTTAAACTATCAACATTTTCACCCTGAGCTTCATTACGCCAGGTCTCTTGTCATGGAGTCACGACAGCCAGTATCTCTTCACTCGCAACGATAACATCCCATCTGTACTTTGGATATGGGACATTCGACGCCTTGAGCTTGCTGCAGTTTTGATGCAGAGAGAGCCGATACGCGCAGCAGCGTGGGACCCAACGTGCCCACGTGTATTTTTGTGCACGGGCAGTCCGATCTTGTACATGTGGAGCCCATCTGGAGCTTGTTGCGTCAATATTCCATTGCCAAAGTTTTTCATATCTGATCTAAAGTGGAATTTGGATGGCAGTTGTCTTCTATTGAAGGATAAGGAGTCTTTTTGCTGTGCTGCGGTGGAGTCTTTATTACCAGACTGCAGATGATAGTTCAGATGGTTAAGAAGTTTTAGGCTTATGTTGTAGATGCATATTGCTGGTTTTTTTCCCCAAAAGGAAACTGTATGTTTATTCTAAAGTCATCTGATTTGCTGTTTCAAGTCAAGCATTCATCACCGTACTTGTCATATCATTATCAAGAAATTATAGTTAAAAGAAGGTTGCAATGCTTATCCTAGAATACACTAGTTGCTTTGTCTATCAGTGTGTTTGGGAGATGACTTTAGGGAAAGGAAAGAAGGGGAATGAAGGTGAAAAGTTCTCCTTCCTTCCGTTCCCCTTCATTACACCTCAATTTGGGGTGTAAGATTTTGACTCAAATTTCCCCATTCTCCTTCTCTATCCTCCTAAATGGATCTCCCAAACAAGATTAAAATTAGACTTCTCTTCCTCTCATCATCTTTATCCTCCATCCAGAACAGGCCATAAATGAGGTGACAATTATGTCTTTAGTGTAAAATTGACACATCCTAGCTGGAAAAATTATTCAGTACTTAAAAGTTCAAAACATTAATGGTGCACAAAAAGAAATCGGTCCGCGAGCCATTAGAATTACTTAAGGGTATATACTGATCTAAGAGTTAATATCTCTTTGAAGTATCATTAATGCATTGGATTGGATGCACTTTTTGTCATCCTTGCCTAGCGATCCTGTGCAGATGATAGGTTTCTTCTATCATTGAATGTTCAAATTTTCTTACCAGTGACGATTGGTTACATTGATCATCATGCTTAGAATTTACGGTACAATTTGCTCATGACTATAATCAATTATAGTGGTCGATCACAGCGGCAAAGAGTTGAGCTCTTCGACTGCAAATGCAAATGGTCCCTTATTTATGGAAACTTGCATATGATGTTATAGGTATGAGCCTATGATCCTACCATTCTTCTTTGTGATTGCAAAAGGCTCCCTGTATATATCGAGACCATTTGAGCCGTTGCATTAACTTCAGCCATTTTATTAAATATCGAGAAACTGTCCATTGTCATATTAATTAGAGGTCATATCTCATTGTCAAAATGTCAGCATTACATCCCGTTTGCGTACCTTAGGCCCCGTTTGGTTCATTTCTTTTGCCTTGGGTAGTGGGCAGAAAACCTGCCAAAAGAGCACTTTTGGCAGGCTTTCTGCCCAAAACGTCTCTTTTAGAGGCGTTTTGGGCAGAAAGCCTGCCAAAAGTGCTCTTTTGACAGGCTTTCTGCCCACTACCCAAGGCAAAAGAAATGAACCAAACGGACCCTTAACGGCTTAATCTCTGTTATGTGAAAAAAATATCGTTGGGATGGTCCGTGCCCTTAAATGTGCACCCAAAGTATATCAATCTTTAAATCTATACACAAATCCCAAAATTCAATGATCAAGAGCTGACATTCATTTGGTGTACATTTAATGCCATTGACCTGAGTACGCTTTGATAGTTTTCACTATTAGGGGCTGTTTGGTTGTTGTTGGTAAAATTGTGTATTTATGACACAACTTGGAAATTTGTTGTCCACCTCATCAATTTCACTTTTATACTTTTCTTTGTTTGTTTTTGATTCCATTGGAATCATAAAACACTTGTTTGGTTTGCAAAATGAAACTTTAATTGTTTGTTTGGAAAGTGTAAAAAGTGGTCCCTACTCAAATGATCATATTGGTCGGAATTATTTTTTATTATTTTTTCCTAACTTCAATGTTAGCTTTCTCCTAAAATCATGTCTTTTTTTTCATGAAACCACTTTACAAGCCACATCAGCATATGAAATCACTTTACACTATTTTCACAACTACAAACAAACAATTGAAAGTGATGAAAGCTGACATTGGGACCCACTTTTTTACACTTTACATACTTTTACATGGTAAAAACATACAACCAAACAGCCCCTTATGTCCTCTTTTTTTTACACAGATTGAGATGATAAAATTAACACTGCTGATCTATTGCACAAAAGCTGAACTGTTGGTTTTCAAGTTTTGACTTCCTTACAGTTTGGGGGAAAAACTTGGATAAGTGTTAAAAGATAAAACATTTTGAAAAACTTGGATAAGTGTTAAAAGATAAAACATTTTTCATAGTTAAAATACCTACGGATTCAATTTTTGACAAAAATAATGCTAGGGGCACACCCTCAACCACACTCCCAACCACACCCCCACACTCTCTATAGTGCTAGTGGGACATGCATGATATTTTTTAAAAAATATCATGCATGGCCCACTAGCACTATAAAGAATGTGGGGGTGTGGTTGAGAGTGTGGTTGATGGTGTGCCTCTAGTGAGACTCTTTTGACAAACAAAATATTGCAAGCATTTTCCATAGCATTGGCGATGAACACCAATAAAATATAACTCCATTAACGATAATTTTTCCAAGCCTAGGGGAGTTTGTTTTTGGGGGTCATGAAATTTATAAAGTCTTGGGGGATTTGTACAAAATCCCAAACTTCGCTGGATTGTTGTGAAATTTACTTAAAAATATTCTTTACGTCTTAAATATATGAGTTTTCCCCCAAGAAACCACCTTAAAAATATGATAATTATGCAAAACCCACCTTTCAATTTCAAAGACCTTCTTTAAAATAGTTTTCTGTTGCAATCAACCACCTCCAAGTTAATTATTTGCTAAAATATAAAAATAGCTTAAAAAATTCTGACGTTGTTAGATCTACATCAAAACTTGAGATCTAAAACCATATAGCCATGATTAATTCAAAGAGATTAACAATAATCAAAAGAGCGGAAGCTTATACCTGAATCCATGGATGAAATCTTGATTTGGGTTTTTGATGATCTTCTAACCTTAGGGTTCCTCTAAAATCCGAATTTCTCTCTTAGATGGGGGTGAAGAGAATTAGAGAATGTTACCCTAGGTTAGGGACCATAACCCCTTATTTATAGATGTTGTACTTTTGTAATTTAGCCCCTCAATAAATTACAATTACAACCTGGTATCTGCACATATGACCCCATGATCATTTAAATACCAAATTAACCCAACTTAATTGATCACTTTAGTGGGTTATCCTGAAAGATAGCAATACACATTGTTTAATCATATGTGCCCACAAATAGATTTATTAGATTAAATCCAACAATCTCCCACTTGGGCACCATATGATTCCTTAAACTGTGTATAACCTTATGAGCTCAAAAATTGCTATCACTGAAATGGTATTTCCGAACAATCTCGTCCATTGACTATATCAATATAGGATCAAAGCGGCCTTCGTCACATTTATCGTGACTCGACCCATCAATGGTCACATATATCAATACAATCAAATGACATAGATCAATCATGGATGTGCAGCATGAAAATTACATGCAATGTGATCAGTACATGTCTATTTTCAACTGGTCCTCCTTAGTGAGGTCAAAACCAAACATAATGTAACAGAGTGTCTTAAGTACGAACGCGAGGTTCGTCTGAAGTACGAACGCGAGGTTCGTCTGAAGTACGAACGCGAGGTTCGTCTGAAGTACGAACGCGAGGTTCGTCTGAAGTACGAACGCGAGGTTCGTCTGAAGTACGAACGCGAGGTTCGTCTGAAGTACGAACGCGAGGTTCGTCTGAAGTACGAACGCGAGGTTCGTCTGAAGTACGAACGCGAGGTTCGTCTGAAGTACGAACGCGAGGTTCGTCTGAAGTACGAACGCGAGGTTCGTCTGAAGTACGAACGCGAGGTTCGTCTGAAGTACGAACGCGAGGTTCGTCTGAAGTACGAACGCGAGGTTCGTCTGAAGTACGAACGCGAGGTTCGTCTGAAGTACGAACGCGAGGTTCGTCTGAAGTACGAACGCGAGGTTCGTCTGAAGTACGAACGCGAGGTTCGTCTGAAGTACGAACGCGAGGTTCGTCTGAAGTACGAACGCGAGGTTCGTCTGAAGTACGAACGCGAGGTTCGTCTGAAGTACGAACGCGAGGTTCGTCTGAAGTACGAACGCGAGGTTCGTCTGAAGTACGAACGCGAGGTTCGTCTGAAGTACGAACGCGAGGTTCGTCTGAAGTACGAACGCGAGGTTCGTCTGAAGTACGAACGCGAGGTTCGTCTGAAGTACGAACGCGAGGTTCGTCTGAAGTACGAACGCGAGGTTCGTCTGAAGTACGAACGCGAGGTTCGTCTGAAGTACGAACGCGAGGTTCGTCTGAAGTACGAACGCGAGGTTCGTCTGAAGTACGAACGCGAGGTTCGTCTGAAGTACGAACGCGAGGTTCGTCTGAAGTACGAACGCGAGGTTCGTCTGAAGTACGAACGCGAGGTTCGTCTGAAGTACGAACGCGAGGTTCGTCTGAAGTACGAACGCGAGGTTCGTCTGAAGTACGAACGCGAGGTTCGTCTGAAGTACGAACGCGAGGTTCGTCTGAAGTACGAACGCGAGGTTCGTCTGAAGTACGAACGCGAGGTTCGTCTGAAGTACGAACGCGAGGTTCGTCTGAAGTACGAACGCGAGGTTCGTCTGAAGTACGAACGCGAGGTTCGTCTGAAGTACGAACGCGAGGTTCGTCTGAAGTACGAACGCGAGGTTCGTCTGAAGTACGAACGCGAGGTTCGTCTGAAGTACGAACGCGAGGTTCGTCTGAAGTACGAACGCGAGGTTCGTCTGAAGTACGAACGCGAGGTTCGTCTGAAGTACGAACGCGAGGTTCGTCTGAAGTACGAACGCGAGGTTCGTCTGAAGTACGAACGCGAGGTTCGTCTGAAGTACGAACGCGAGGTTCGTCTGAAGTACGAACGCGAGGTTCGTCTGAAGTACGAACGCGAGGTTCGTCTGAAGTACGAACGCGAGGTTCGTCTGAAGTACGAACGCGAGGTTCGTCTGAAGTACGAACGCGAGGTTCGTCTGAAGTACGAACGCGAGGTTCGTCTGAAGTACGAACGCGAGGTTCGTCTGAAGTACGAACGCGAGGTTCGTCTGAAGTACGAACGCGAGGTTCGTCTGAAGTACGAACGCGAGGTTCGTCTGAAGTACGAACGCGAGGTTCGTCTGAAGTACGAACGCGAGGTTCGTCTGAAGTACGAACGCGAGGTTCGTCTGAAGTACGAACGCGAGGTTCGTCTGAAGTACGAACGCGAGGTTCGTCTGAAGTACGAACGCGAGGTTCGTCTGAAGTACGAACGCGAGGTTCGTCTGAAGTACGAACGCGAGGTTCGTCTGAAGTACGAACGCGAGGTTCGTCTGAAGTACGAACGCGAGGTTCGTCTGAAGTACGAACGCGAGGTTCGTCTGAAGTACGAACGCGAGGTTCGTCTGAAGTACGAACGCGAGGTTCGTCTGAAGTACGAACGCGAGGTTCGTCTGAAGTACGAACGCGAGGTTCGTCTGAAGTACGAACGCGAGGTTCGTCTGAAGTACGAACGCGAGGTTCGTCTGAAGTACGAACGCGAGGTTCGTCTGAAGTACGAACGCGAGGTTCGTCTGAAGTACGAACGCGAGGTTCGTCTGAAGTACGAACGCGAGGTTCGTCTGAAGTACGAACGCGAGGTTCGTCTGAAGTACGAACGCGAGGTTCGTCTGAAGTACGAACGCGAGGTTCGTCTGAAGTACGAACGCGAGGTTCGTCTGAAGTACGAACGCGAGGTTCGTCTGAAGTACGAACGCGAGGTTCGTCTGAAGTACGAACGCGAGGTTCGTCTGAAGTACGAACGCGAGGTTCGTCTGAAGTACGAACGCGAGGTTCGTCTGAAGTACGAACGCGAGGTTCGTCTGAAGTACGAACGCGAGGTTCGTCTGAAGTACGAACGCGAGGTTCGTCTGAAGTACGAACGCGAGGTTCGTCTGAAGTACGAACGCGAGGTTCGTCTGAAGTACGAACGCGAGGTTCGTCTGAAGTACGAACGCGAGGTTCGTCTGAAGTACGAACGCGAGGTTCGTCTGAAGTACGAACGCGAGGTTCGTCTGAAGTACGAACGCGAGGTTCGTCTGAAGTACGAACGCGAGGTTCGTCTGAAGTACGAACGCGAGGTTCGTCTGAAGTACGAACGCGAGGTTCGTCTGAAGTACGAACGCGAGGTTCGTCTGAAGTACGAACGCGAGGTTCGTCTGAAGTACGAACGCGAGGTTCGTCTGAAGTACGAACGCGAGGTTCGTCTGAAGTACGAACGCGAGGTTCGTCTGAAGTACGAACGCGAGGTTCGTCTGAAGTACGAACGCGAGGTTCGTCTGAAGTACGAACGCGAGGTTCGTCTGAAGTACGAACGCGAGGTTCGTCTGAAGTACGAACGCGAGGTTCGTCTGAAGTACGAACGCGAGGTTCGTCTGAAGTACGAACGCGAGGTTCGTCTGAAGTACGAACGCGAGGTTCGTCTGAAGTACGAACGCGAGGTTCGTCTGAAGTACGAACGCGAGGTTCGTCTGAAGTACGAACGCGAGGTTCGTCTGAAGTACGAACGCGAGGTTCGTCTGAAGTACGAACGCGAGGTTCGTCTGAAGTACGAACGCGAGGTTCGTCTGAAGTACGAACGCGAGGTTCGTCTGAAGTACGAACGCGAGGTTCGTCTGAAGTACGAACGCGAGGTTCGTCTGAAGTACGAACGCGAGGTTCGTCTGAAGTACGAACGCGAGGTTCGTCTGAAGTACGAACGCGAGGTTCGTCTGAAGTACGAACGCGAGGTTCGTCTGAAGTACGAACGCGAGGTTCGTCTGAAGTACGAACGCGAGGTTCGTCTGAAGTACGAACGCGAGGTTCGTCTGAAGTACGAACGCGAGGTTCGTCTGAAGTACGAACGCGAGGTTCGTCTGAAGTACGAACGCGAGGTTCGTCTGAAGTACGAACGCGAGGTTCGTCTGAAGTACGAACGCGAGGTTCGTCTGAAGTACGAACGCGAGGTTCGTCTGAAGTACGAACGCGAGGTTCGTCTGAAGTACGAACGCGAGGTTCGTCTGAAGTACGAACGCGAGGTTCGTCTGAAGTACGAACGCGAGGTTCGTCTGAAGTACGAACGCGAGGTTCGTCTGAAGTACGAACGCGAGGTTCGTCTGAAGTACGAACGCGAGGTTCGTCTGAAGTACGAACGCGAGGTTCGTCTGAAGTACGAACGCGAGGTTCGTCTGAAGTACGAACGCGAGGTTCGTCTGAAGTACGAACGCGAGGTTCGTCTGAAGTACGAACGCGAGGTTCGTCTGAAGTACGAACGCGAGGTTCGTCTGAAGTACGAACGCGAGGTTCGTCTGAAGTACGAACGCGAGGTTCGTCTGAAGTACGAACGCGAGGTTCGTCTGAAGTACGAACGCGAGGTTCGTCTGAAGTACGAACGCGAGGTTCGTCTGAAGTACGAACGCGAGGTTCGTCTGAAGTACGAACGCGAGGTTCGTCTGAAGTACGAACGCGAGGTTCGTCTGAAGTACGAACGCGAGGTTCGTCTGAAGTACGAACGCGAGGTTCGTCTGAAGTACGAACGCGAGGTTCGTCTGAAGTACGAACGCGAGGTTCGTCTGAAGTACGAACGCGAGGTTCGTCTGAAGTACGAACGCGAGGTTCGTCTGAAGTACGAACGCGAGGTTCGTCTGAAGTTCGAACGCGAGGTTCGTCTGAAGTACGAACGCGAGGTTCGTCTGAAGTACGAACGCGAGGTTCGTCTGAAGTACGAACGCGAGGTTCGTCTGAAGTACGAACGCGAGGTTCGTCTGAAGTACGAACGCGAGGTTCGTCTGAAGTACGAACGCGAGGTTCGTCTGAAGTACGAACGCGAGGTTCGTCTGAAGTACGAACGCGAGGTTCGTCTGAAGTACGAACGCGAGGTTCGTCTGAAGTACGAACGCGAGGTTCGTCTGAAGTACGAACGCGAGGTTCGTCTGAAGTACGAACGCGAGGTTCGTCTGAAGTACGAACGCGAGGTTCGTCTGAAGTACGAACGCGAGGTTCGTCTGAAGTACGAACGCGAGGTTCGTCTGAAGTACGAACGCGAGGTTCGTCTGAAGTACGAACGCGAGGTTCGTCTGAAGTACGAACGCGAGGTTCGTCTGAAGTACGAACGCGAGGTTCGTCTGAAGAACGAACGCGAGGTTCGTTAAAAAATTGAGCTTGACGCTCACCTGAGTTGAACGCGAGGTTCACCTTGGGAACGAACGCGAGGTTCGTTGAAATTGAGCTTGACGCTCACCTGAGTTGAACGCGAGGTTCACCTTAGAACGAACGCGAGGTTCGTTAAAATTGAGCTTGACGCTCACCTGAGTTGAACGCGAGGTTCACCTTAGAACGAACGCGAGGTTCGTTAAAATTGAGCTTGAGGCTCACCTAATTGAGCTTGACGCTCACCTGAGTTGAACGCGAGGTTCACCTTAGAACGAACGCGAGGTTCGTTGAGCGCGAAGCTCGGTTAAAATTGAACGAACGCGAGGTTCGTTTGAGGTAACCACCTCCTTAATTTTCGCCATGAACCCTTAGGGTTTCAAATTGAAACCGCCGCCGACAAACCCAAAAAACCTTTGATTTTTCTTTTCAAAACAGATCCAGAATTGGAAAAAATTGAAGGAAAAATCAAAGAAAAATCCAAAAATTCCCAAAAGTTACTGTTCACCGGCGATTTTTCAGTCACTGTTCATCCGGAAAAAACTTTACCGTTCATCCGAAAAAAATTTCGTTACTGTTCATCCGAGAACATTACTGTTCATCCGAACCCAAAAATTGAATCTTTAACCAGAGATTTAAGATCAAAAACCCAATAAAACTTAAATCCCTAAGAATTAATCAACCTGGCTCTGATACCACTTGTTGGATCTACATCAAAACTTGAGATCTAAAACCATATAGCCATGATTAATTCAAAGAGATTAACAAAATCAAAAGAGAGCGGAAGCTTATACCTGAATCCATGGATGAAATCTTGATTTGGGTTTTTGATGATCTTCTAACCTTAGGGTTCCTCTAAAATCCGAATTTCTCTCTTAGATGGGGGTGAAGAGAATTAGAGAATGTTACCCTAGGTTAGGGACCATAACCCCTTATTTATAGATGTTGTACTTTTGTAATTTAGCCCCTCAATAAATTACAATTACAACCTGGTATCTGCACATATGACCCCATGATCATTTAAATACCAAATTAACCCAACTTAATTGATCACTTTAGTGGGTTATCCTGAAAGATAGCAATACACATTGTTTAATCATATGTGCCCACAAATAGATTTATTAGATTAAATCCAACAGACGTGAGTTATATACTAACAAGACATAAACACGAAAAAAATGAATCATCTCTTTTGAATGTAAGTTTTTAAGGGTAATTTTAGATTTCTACTGGAAAATTTTGAGTACGTGTCTGATTGCAGCAAACACTCGCTTTAAAGATGGTTTATGTATAAATTTAAGATGAAACGTGGCTTCATGTTACCAAATTTAAACGCGGCTTCATTTTACCAAACTTAAACGTGGCTTCCATATATTTACCATATGTCTAAGGTGGTTTCAAGGAGGAAAAAAAAAAAAAAATCCTAGATATATCCATTGCAAACGAAAGCATTATTGCATCATAATCTTCTCTCAAATACACTTTCCAACAGATTTCCGCAAAATTTGGGCGCATAATTATCCTTTAACGGCCCCCGCCACCGACTCGCGTAACGTTTCATTCGGCCAGCTACCCGAACCGGCTTTGTTGAATTTGACGCGTTCGCTCCTCTCTCTCTCTCTCTCTCTATTATTTCCTCCCAAGATATTTTTTCCCTTTTCTTTTTCTATTTTCATAGCGTTTGAAGCGCATTTCTTTTGGTTTCTCCCTCTTTGATCCTTGATTTCAAATGGGAAACGAGGGAGGAGGAGGAGTCCGCTCAGAGGAGAGCGTCAATGGCGGAACCGACGTACGGGGCTGTTCTGAGCCACCTTCGTCCGCTGATCATCTGGTCGTCATGGTTCACGGAATCCTAGGAAGGTATGATTTTGGATTATGGACCGAAATTGAACGGTTTGGGGTTCAATCTGTGACGAATTTGGTTCCCTTTTGGGATCAGTGATGTTGAATTGGGTGATGAGTATGTGAATTTCTTTTCTTTTCTTTTCTTTTCTTTTTTTGGGATATCTGCGATAAGCTGATGATGTCAATTTTGTGTGGAATTTGGTTGATTGTTGTTTGGCTAGTAAGCTGGATCAATTTTATTTTTTTATTACATTTTATAGTTTCAGCAGTACTCTCAGAGTTTTTATTCTCACTATGTAGTCATGTTGAGTATGATCTTCTCCTTTTTGCAGCACGGCTAACTGGAAATTTGCTGCCAACCAATTTGTGAGGACGCTGCCGGACAAAGTGATTGTTCATTGTGAGTTACCCTTCATCAATTTTCAACCTTAATTACTTGAGTCTTTTTTTTTTTTGATCATTTGGAACTTTTTAATTTATGGAAATCATGCACGTTCCCTCGTTATTTTTATTAGGGGTTTTCGGGTATATACCTGTTAGATTATGCAAAACTACCCCCAAAGATCAACCTGGAAAAAAAAAGCAGTTACAAATTTAGCCAATGAAAGTTGATGATTTGTTGATTTGGGGGTAGTTTGCAAAAGGTTGTTTTTTTGCAAATATGCATGATTAAAGGGGTATATATGTACAGAAAATCGTTTTTATTATGTATGTTATGATTGCTGATGGTGTCCCATGAACTGCATTAATTTAGTTTCTCTGAGTGATGCTAATTGTAAACATTCTCTGGTTGCACCCAAAATGTTGCAAACTTCTATGACAAGTGCTGAAAGGTGATTTACCCCGTGCATAATTTTCATTGGTTTCTAAATCACATAGTACAAAAATTTCATTTTCACTACTAACTTAAAGGTTTAGAAACCAATGAAAAATTTTGCATGCTTGATATTCGGAACCATCCTTGAATATATGAGTGAAGCATTATTCTGGTCTTCTGTAATTTCAAATGCGATAATTTTAAGTTTTTTCTCCACATATTTGTTGTGGAGTATATTTGCCAATTATTCTAGGCTGTTTTTTATAGGTAGTGAGCGCAACATTAATAAGCTGACATTAGATGGTGTTGATGTCATGGGTGAGCGGTTAGCAAATGAGGTTAGTTTGCTCTTATCTTAGAATGTCGCTTTTGCAATTAATCCAAAAATTTACCCTTTTCAGTTAATTCCACAAAAATCTACAGCGTGAAACTGACTCCGGTTTTAATTTTGTTCTTCAATGACTTTTATCTTACTAGGTAATTGAAGTTGTAAACAGAATGCCAGAAGTTAAAAAAATTTCTTTCATTTCACACTCGGTTGGTGGATTGGTTGCAAGATATGCAATTGGGAGGCTTTACAGACCTCCAGAGGAAAAGCTTGAATCCGACCCTCCAGGTGGAGTCTATGATAACGATTCCAGAGGAACCATACTTGGCCTGGAAGCAATGAATTTTATCACTATTGCTACTCCACATCTTGGTTCTAGGGGAAACAAGCAGGTATCCCTTTAGCTATGCAAGTTCTAGCTGTTGAATCTTATGATACAAACAGGGAGAAACGATAATTACTCTTAATCTGAAATGCTACTCATTAAATTTCTTAAGCGGTCAATGTGGAGAGTATCCTTAAGGAGTTAAGTAGTTTGGCTCTACAGTTCTTGCCTAATAGAAACTAAAACTGTTCATAAGAGTATCTGACCCAACTCCATCAAACTGGGCACCAGTTTGCACTTGCGAAGAACTTCTGGGAACAATTTTGTGGAGTTAGGACTGAAATAGTAGGCCTAATAAAATGCAAAACAGCATATTCACCTGCGGCTAAAATGGCTAGAGAAAGTTGGACTTATTGTGAAAATCATGAATCTTTTGGCTAATCTGTTGTTATTGGCACCATTTTCTGTGTTTCTACGTCAAAAATTGACTGTGAAGCTAGTAACAAATTGAGTTGATTTCTTTGCAACTTTTTTGATAATTAATAAAAGAAGCTGTCTTCTACAGGTTCCATTTCTCTTTGGTGTCACAGCAATTGAAATGGTTGCTTCTCGTGTTATTCACTGGATATTTGGCAGAACAGGCAAGCATCTTTTTCTTTGCGATAATGATGGAGAACCTCCATTATTGCTGCGTATGGTGGAAGATTCTGGTGACCATTGTTTCATGTATGCCCATTTTTGCCTCACTCTATTGGTTGTTTTTGACTGGTGAATTCAGAAGTAGTATTTGGTATGTGGATCGCTGATGATAGTCAAATTGTTATTGTAGGTCTGCACTAAAAGCATTTACACGTCGAGTTGCTTATTCAAACGCTGTCCATGATAGTATCCTCTTGAGTTTGGTTTTCGGTTGACTACATGGTCATGTAGTTTTCTACAAACTGTTTAGGGGATATTTTGGTATTAGTCCCTTAAATCTTTAATATTTTGAAATAATCCCTCAAATCATTGAAATTGCTGCCAAGTCCCCAAGTTTTATATCTTGTTACTGCTGCTCTTGATTGGAGGGTTTAATTTGAAACAACTTGTAAGGATTAGAGGACCTAATAGTAATTCAATGATCCGAGGGACTAATTTTGAAACAATTTATAATAATTAAGGGGCCTAATAGAAATAATATAAACTTTAATGATTTGAGGGTCTAATTTAAAATGATAAAGATTTACGGGATTGGTATAAAAAACCCATTATTTAAATAAGCTCGATATATACTGTATTTAGTTTCCATGACCAATTCTGCTCAAGATATTGTGGGTTGGAGAACGTCATCAATAAGACGCAACTCAGAATTACCAAAGGTAACTCTCTCATGTAAGCTGGTGTTTACTGATTAATTTTGGGACCTTTAATTTTGACATAAAGGCTATCCAATTAGCTTCTTTTGTGTTCATTCCATGCTCATTAAAATCTTAAATTTAAATTTTATAGTTTTGTTTTATAGTGGGAGGAGCCTCTATGTGAGACCTATCCACATGTTGTATATGAAGAACTGTCAAAAGCCGTTGTATATGAAAAACCGTTAGAAGAAGACATTGTCAAGAATTCCACTCAAGTGGATGGAAATTGTGATGTTGTAGAAGGCAAGTGTATTTCCTCTTCATTCTTCAAAATAGTTTTTCAGAGTCATCAAAACCATGTTTAGCTTTGATCTCAACCCATTTTAAGAAGAGCTATTCTCCAATTTATGTAATAAATTACCATCTGATAATTTTTTGCATTGCATATGATATTTTGTCATAAGCCGAAGAGTTTATGCTTGCTACTTTCATTATAATCACTTTGAAACATGTAATTTGCCAGAAATGATGGTGAATGGTAATATTTAGAATGCATGACACAAAACAAAAGCTTTTTAGATGCTTCTGCTTAATGATATTCTCTGATTGTTTTAATTGTTGACTCATGCTTGCTACTTTCATTATGCTCACTTTGAAACATGAAATTTGCCAGAAATGATGGTGAATGGTAATATTTAGAATGCATGACACAAAACAAAAGCTTTTTAGATGCATCTGCTTAATGATATTCTCTGATTGTTTTAATTGTTGACTCTGAAAGCCTGGATGAGGTGAGGACTTGGTATCCTCAGCTCTTTGAGAGCATAAGGAGCAAGTGGAAATGCTTCTTTAAAAAAAAAGTAGAAGAATTGTTATATACTACCAACA